TGGTTTGTTAGAGGTCACACTTCAAGATAAACGTATATCCATATAGTAGTGTGTGGTTTGTTAGAAGTTTTACTTAAAGATGCGCATATATCCATAGAGTAATGTCCTGTTTGTAAGCGGTTACACTTAAAGATGCAAGTGTATCTCTAGTGTAGTGTTATGTTTGTAAGAGGTTACACTTAAATATGCACGTATATCAATATATTAGTGTGTGATGTGTTAGAGGTCATACTTAAAGACGCACATATATCTATAGTGAAGTGTAATGTTTGTTAGAGGTTACACTTAAAGATGCACATATGCCTTTTGAGTAGTGTGCGGTTTGTTAGAGGTTAAAATTTAAAATGCACGTATATCTATAAAGTATTGTGTGGTTTTCTAGTGGTTACACTTAAAGATGCGCATATATCTATAGAGAAGTGTGTGGTTTGTAAGAGGTCATACTTAAAAACGCACATATATCTATAGTGTAGTGTAATGTTCGTTAGCGGTTACGCTTAAAGAAGCACGTATATCTATATAGTATTGTGTGGTTTCTTAGAGGTTATACTTTAAGATGCACATATATCTATAGAGTAGTGTGTGGTTTGCTAGAGGTTACACTTAAAGATGCACGTATATCCATAGAGTAGTGTGTGGTTTGTTAGATGTCATACTTAAAGATGCACATATATCTATAGAGTAGTGTGTGATGTGTTAGAGGTCATACTTAAAGACGCACATATATCTATAGTGAAGTGTAATGTTTGTTAGAGGTTACACTTAAAGATGCGCATATGCCTATTGAGTAGTGTGTGGTTTGTTAGAGGTTACAATTTAAAATGCACGTATATCTATAGAGTAGTGTATGGTTTGTTAGAGGTTTCACTTAAAGAAGCACGTATATCTATAGAGTATTATGTGGTTTGTTTGAGGTCTCGTTTAAAGATGCGCATATATCTATAGTGTAGTGTAATGTTCGTTAGAGGTTACGCTTAAAGAAGCACGTATATCTATATAGTATTGTGTGGTTTCTTAGAGGTTAAACTTTAAGATGTACATATATCTATAGAGTAGGGAGTTGTTTGTTAGAGGTCTCACTTAAAGAAGCACGTATATCTATAGAGTAGTGGGTTTTTTTAGTGGTTACACTTGAAGATACGCATATATCTATAGAGTAGTTTGTGGTTTGTAAGAGGCCATACTTAAGACGCACATATATCTATAGCGTAGTGTAATGTTCGTTAGAGGTTACGCTTAAAGAAGAACGTATATCTTTAGAGTAATGTGTGTTTTTTTGGTGGTTACATTTAAAGATGCACGTTTATCTATAGAGTTGTGTGTGGTTTGTTAGATGTTTTACTTGAAGATGAACATATATCTATAGAGTAGAGTGTGGTTTGTTAGAGGTTATACTTAAAGATGCACATATATTTATAGAGTAGTTTATGGTTTGTTAGAGGTCACACTTCAAGATACACGTATATCCATATAGTAGTGTGTGCTTTGTTAGAAGTTTTACTTAAAGATGCGCATATATCCATAGAGTAATGTCCTGTTTGTAAGCGGTTACACTTAAAGATGCAAGTGTATCTCTAGTGTAGTGTTATGTTTGTAAGAGGTTACACTTAAATATGCACGTATATCAATATATTAGTGTGTGATGTGTTAGAGGTCATACTTAAAGACGCACATATATCTATAGTGAAGTGTAATGTTTGTTAGAGGTTACACTTAAAGATGCACATATGCCTTTTGAGTAGTGTGCGGTTTGTTAGAGGTTACAATTTAAAATGCACGTATATCTATAGAGTATTGTGTGTTTTTTTGGTGGTTACACTTAAAGATGCGCCTATATCTATAGAGTAGTGTGTGGTTTGTAAGAGGTCATACTTAAAAACGCACATATATCTATAGTGTAGTGTAATGTTCGTTAGCGGTTACGCTTAAAGAAGCACGTATATCTATATAGTATTGTGTGGTTTCTTAGAGGTTATACTTTAAGATGCACATATATCTATAGAGTAGTGTGTGGTTTGCTAGAGGTTACACTTAAAGATGCACGTATATCCATAGAGTAGTGTGTGGTTTGTTAGATGTCATACTTAAAGATGCACATATATCTATAGAGTAGTGTGTGATGTGTTAGAGGTCATACTTAAAGACGCACATATATCTATAGTGAAGTGTAATGTTTGTTAGAGGTTACACTTAAAGATGCGCATATGCCTATTGAGTAGTGTGTGGTTTGTTAGAGGTTACAATTTAAAATGCACGTATATCTATAGAGTAGTGTATGGTTTGTTAGAGATTTCACTTAAAGAAGCACGTATATCTATAGAGTATTATGTGGTTTGTTTGAGGTCTCGTTTAAAGATGCGCATATATCTATAGTGTAGTGTAATGTTCGTTAGAGGTTACGCTTAAAGAAGCACGTATATCTATATAGTATTGTGTGGTTTCTTAGAGGTTAAACTTTAAGATGTACATATATCTATAGAGTAGGGAGTTGTTTGTTAGAGGTCTCACTTAAAGAAGCACGTATATCTATAGAGTAGTGGGTTTTTTTAGTGGTTACACTTGAAGATACGCATATATCTATAGAGTAGTTTGTGGTTTGTAAGAGGCCATACTTAAGACGCACATATATCTATAGCGTAGTGTAATGTTCGTTAGAGGTTACGCTTAAAGAAGAACGTATATCTTTAGAGTAATGTGTGTTTTTTTGGTGGTTACATTTAAAGATGCACGTTTATCTATAGAGTTGTGTGTGGTTTGTTAGATGTTTTACTTGAAGATGAACATATATCTATAGAGTAGAGTGTGGTTTGTTAGAGGTTATACTTAAAGATGCACATATATTTATAGAGTAGTTTATGGTTTGTTAGAGGTCACACTTCAAGATACACGTATATCCATATAGTAGTGTGTGGTTTGTTAGAAGTTTTACTTAAAGATGCACATATATCCATAGAGTAATGTCCTGTTTGTAAGCGGTTACACTTAAAGATGCAAGTGTATCTCTAGTGTAGTGTTATGTTTGTAAGAGGTTACACTTAAATATGCACGTATATCAATATATTAGTGTGTGATGTGTTAGAGGTCATACTTAAAGACGCACATATATCTATAGTGAAGTGTAATGTTTGTTAGAGGTTACACTTAAAGATGCACATATGCCTTTTGAGTAGTGGGCGGTTTGTTAGAGGTTAAAATTTAAAATGCACGTATATCTATAAAGTATTGTGTGGTTTTTTAGTGGTTACACTTAAAGATGCGCATATATCTATAGAGTAGTGTGTGGTTTGTAAGAGGTCATACTTAAAAACGCACATATATCTATAGTGTAGTGTAATGTTCGTTAGCGGTTACGCTTAAAGAAGCACGTATATCTATATAGTATTGTGTGGTTTCTTAGAGGTTATACTTTAAGATGCACATATATCTATAGAGTAGTGTGTGGTTTGCTAGAGGTTACACTTAAAGATGCACGTATATCCATAGAGTAGTGTGTGGTTTGTTAGATGTCATACTTAAAGATGCACATATATCTATAGAGTAGTGTGTGATGTGTTAGAGGTCATACTTAAAGACGCACATATATCTATAGTGAAGTGTAATGTTTGTTAGAGGTTACACTTAAAGATGCGCATATGCCTATTGAGTAGTGTGTGGTTTGTTAGAGGTTACAATTTAAAATGCACGTATATCTATAGAGTAGTGTATGGTTTGTTAGAGGTTTCACTTAAAGAAGCACGTATATCTATAGAGTATTATGTGGTTTGTTTGAGGTCTCGTTTAAAGATGCGCATATATCTATAGTGTAGTGTAATGTTCGTTAGAGGTTACGCTTAAAGAAGCACGTATATCTATATAGTATTGTGTGGTTTCTTAGAGGTTAAACTTTAAGATGTACATATATCTATAGAGTAGGGAGTTGTTTGTTAGAGGTCTCACTTAAAGAAGCACATATATCTATAGAGTAGTGTATGGTTTGTTAGAGGTTTCACTTAAAGAAGCACGTATATCTATAGAGTAGTGGGTTTTTTTAGTGGTTACACTTGAAGATACGCATATATCTATAGAGTAGTTTGTGGTTTGTAAGAGGCCATACTTAAGACGCACATATATCTATAGTGTAGTGTAATGTTCGTTAGAGGTTACGCTTAAAGAAGCACGTATATCTTTAGAGTAATGTGTGTTTTTTTGGAGGTTACATTTAAAGATGCACGTTTATCTATAGAGTTGTGTGTGGTTTGTTAGATGTTTTACTTGAAGATGAACATATATCTATAGAGTAGAGTGTGGTTTGTTAGAGATTATACTTAAAGATGCACATATATCTATCGTAGAAACGATATTAGAGCTGTCTAAAATATCAACCATAATTTGGTCTTACAGGTCAAGTCTTTCATACCATATTTCCCCCTTCTTTGTCTGTATTTTGTTCATGATATAACGTCTTCATTCTTCGTTTTATCCTAAACTCACGTATGGACTAATTCACTATACCGCACGAGAGAAATAACAGATTTGACTTTCCCATCGGCTACAAATTCGTAAATGGGACTCTCAGCGTTTTGCGCCACATTCGTGCATTTGTTTCTCCACTCCCTTACCCGCGCCTCATCGTGAACATGCAAAGCTTCGTTTCCTTTGCCCAGTCCGATATGATGAAACACATGCCGACATGAAACATTCCCTAACATGGGACTGCCTCATAAAAAGTGTGTAGTAGACACTGTGTGCAACCATGTTTAAATAAATGCTGTTGATGCTCTTTTGTTCTCTACAACAAAACACGTGTGCAAACGCTACCGCGTAAGAGTGAACACAAGAACCATTACAACAATCCAATAAGTAGAATGTATTGGAGAAGACTATGGGTGTCGTCATTGGTAGGAAGATGCTTGTACGGGTGAGCTGGAAATGACCAGCACCGCACAAATGGAAACGCATTAATGTATACCACTGTTAGAGATTATCATGATTGAAAAGACAAACAACAAGAGTAGTGCATATAGGTTAAAAGAAGGTTCATTAAGTATGCAAATACACAAAACATACGTACGATAAAGAACAACACTTTGACGTATGACTATACATTAATTCAAACACACATCAGCATGAACCACACATTGTATTTTCTACATCCTTTTCATAAGAGGCCATAAAACTGCATTTTGCGGGGTGTCAAAATTGGGGCTTATGGCTTACATATATATTGCATACTTGATAAAAATCAGTTAAAGGTTTAAGGTTAGCGTTCAGGCTTTGGTAAAATATTCCAGTATCATAATTGTTAGTTCCTAAGGCATGAAACTTTATATTTGCATGTACATTGTATCTTATCCTGCCACATGAAATGTTGGTGACATGTTTATCAAAGGTAGATTCAAGGTCTTCTTGCATTATAGATCTACATTTGTACCCACTAGTTATTGTTTATGGATACTTGACCAACGGTCCCTGTGGATGCATGTGTTCACTGATCAAACAGTACTTTGTTTACCTGTCATAATTTCATAAAGGATCGCCAGTCAAATCTGGATAACTACAAGCGTTTAACAGACAGGCTATTCCGCGGCCATCACCATAAGGTTACATTTACACATCTAAAAAAAAAGATTCGTAATAGTATTTATTTGATATTTCCATTTGTCACATTCGTAAATCTGTGAAAAAAGTTCATTTCATCCGGAACAGTGACGTTCCCCAGTTTAAAAGAATCGTCCAGATAGTTCTGTCGGCACCATCCTCCCATATCGTATTGTATCAGTATTGGACGTCAAACATTAAATCGCAAACATATTTCACTCCTTGGTTACATATTTTTTATCGTATGAAAGTTTATATAAAACGACAACGCCTGAGAATAACCAGTCTAGGTTATCAGCCGAAACAAACTCCATTTGGCGTAATAGGCACAAAAAGCATGAAGATTTTAGGAAACGATCACTGAAAATCCGTGATGGAAAGGAATGAATACTAGCCCTACGATATGAACAAAGTAAATATACTAGTCATTATCTAGATTATTAAGGTCCATAGGAATAATAATAACATATAAGCAACATTGTTATAACATATCAGACTAACCCATAACCTTGATTGCTGTTGATGATGCAGGGTGTTGGCGTAGTGGAAGAGGATGATGATGATGATGACGATGATGATGATGATGATGATGATGATGATGATGATGATGATCTAACTGCGACACACATGCGCACATTGAAGACAATGTCAATAACAAAAACCAAAACCTGGGAAGGGTTGTGAGACAAACACTCTCAATTAACAATGCCTACAGTTTCCTCCATATACAGGGTCTCATGTTTGTACGAGCTGTATACAAAATTCTATCAAAGAAATATGTAACTTATACATAGCACATATTTAACATAGTCGTGCAGATAAGACAGTCCAGTACATATTGAATGGGAAACCCCGTTTTCCTGATTTAACAGGGATGCACAAAGTAAGCTCAATTGTTTTGGAGATCCCTCGATTCGGAACGTTTACGTCTGACGAGCATCTCCGTGGTGGCATAGCCGGCCATACCCACACACATCACCCCAATACACACGTACAGCTTGATGTAGGTGAACAAGAAGTCGTTGTAGGCGTATGTTATGATGAAGCCAACCGATTCCCACAAGCGATAATTTGCGAATGCCGCCTCGGTGTTTTCCGTGAAGAGGTACCCGTAAAATGCTGTGGAAGAAAGCATTATTGAATAATATAAAATCAGGGCTTTTCTGTCGATTTCAAATCTGCCTACGTTGCAGACAGACAGCCGCAACATACACACCAACACAGTGCACTGTTACTTGTTTAAATATAATTCATAAACGTTTTACCAACAATCAAGTGTTTGGAGCTGGCACGGGTGGCCCACTCGCCTCATAGGGCGCCACATTTCGCTATGCTGAGTTGCGTCCCTTGGTCACGCTAGAAACCCGTGATTCTGGGTTCGAATACCCGGTTCGCCACGAATATGTTTCCAGGTTTGTAAGCACATACCCATGCGCGTGGGTTTCACCAAAGTGGTAAACGTCTAAAACCTGCATCACTTAGGGCTTTCCTCCAACATCAAGCTGGCATGCCTTTATCTAACTGGAATACTGTTCAAAGCGGCGTTAAACTCACTCACTTACACACTCACTAGCTCAAGAGGTTTGACCGGATTTCTTTTCGCAACTTTTCATTCAAATTGTTACCTTGGACAGTTATCTAAACATGTTTTCTCTTGATGGTCATAAGTGGACACGTCTATTCCAAAAGACTAGATAGAATTAGGATCATATTTGGCCTGCTTGAAAGGTCAAATTATGAATTACGGAAAACAATGCAATATTAGTATGAAACGTATCGGACATGTTCAAATGGTTGACAACTAAACTTTTTCATTCCTACATAGTTTAGGACTTCTGGCATGGCTCAATGAGTGAACAGTGGCATTTCTGCAAATTCAAGAGACAATCTAACCATGAGCAAATCGACGACTCCAGATGACCTTTTCACAATGTGTTCGTACTGTTGGTATCTATGTCTCCTAAGCAAATTACCTTGTGTCAAAGACTCGCTTATGTTCAACGATTGAAAAATGCTTTTAAAACCCCTCTAAATTCAACCTTTTCGACGCATGTTATGCCTTATCCAAAACATTCTATAGCTTAAATGAAGAAAGTTTAGCTCTCATTCATTTGAACACATTTGATAACCTTCTAAAAGTTTTCAAATTTCCTAACTTATGCTGGTCCCGTGGGCCAAATGGAGCCTTTATCCTACCCTGTCCTTTGTAATGTACTGACCGTTAATTTGTGTCTGGATTACTGCATCCCCCATCCCCCAGCATGCAGCGATGATGTAGTACACCACCACAGTGTCGGGGTTCGGCATCCACAGAAGAAGAGCTATCTGACAACCTCCATGGACCAGGAACGCTGTCATATAAAAGGAGAAAGGCCAAAGATATGAATAGAGCTGTTATGTCAAACGTATTGTGTAGGCATACTCGGGAATTGGGTCTTTGGGTGAATACTTGGACAGGAACGGAGCTAGAGCTGGGAACAGAGACACGGAGACAGTTGGAGGTAGACACAGAGGCACTGAAACAGAGGGAGGCAGACACAGAAACACTGATACAGATGTCTGCCTCCCTCTGTGCTTTCCTCAGTGTCCCTGTGTCTCCCTCCCTCTGTGTCTGTGTCTCTGTGCCTGCCTTCCTCTGTGTCTGTGTCAGTATTTTTGTGTCTGTCTCCCTCTGTGCCTGTGACTCTGTGTCTGTGTCTCTTGTTCTGTCTCCCTCTGTGTCTGCCTCCCTCTGTGTCAGTGTCAATGTCTCTGTGCCTGCCTCCCGCTGTGTCAGTGTCAGTGTCTCTGTGCCTGCCTCCCTCTGTGTCAGTGTCAGTGCCTCTGTGTCTGCCTCCCCCTGTGTGAGTTTATCTGTGTCTTACTCCCTCTGTGTCTGTATCAGTGTCACTGTGTCCCTGGTTCTGCCTCACTCTGTGTCTGCCTCCCGCTGTGTCAGTGTCAGTGTCTCTGTGCCTGCCTCCCTCTGTGTCAGTGTCAGTGTCTCTGTGTCTACCTACCTCTGTGTCTGTGTTTGTGTCTCTGTGTCAGTGTCTCTGTGTCAGTGTCTCTGTGTCAGTGTCTCTGTGTCAGTGTCACTGTCTTTGTGTCTCCCTCCATCTGTGTCCCTGTCTCTGTGTCTGCCTCCCTCTGTGTCAGTTTCTCTGTGTCTGCATCCCTGTGTCTGCCTACTCTGTGTCCCTGTCTCTGTGTCTGCCTCACTGCCTCAGAGGGAGGCAGAACCAGGGACACAGTGACACTGACACAGAGGGAGGCAGGCACAGAGACACAAACACAGACACAGCGGGAAGCAGACACAGAGTGAGGCAGAACCAGGGACACAGTGACACTGACACTGACACCGAGGGAGTAAGACACAGAGAAACTCACACAGGAGGAGGCAGACACAGAGAAACTCACACAGCGAGAGGCAGACACAGAGACACAAACACTGACATAGAGGGAGGCAGGCACAGAGACACTGACACTGCCATAGCGGGAGGCTAGCACAGAGACACAAACACAGACACAGAGGGAGGCAGGCACAGAGACACTGACACAGAGACACTGACACTGACATAGAGGGGGGCAGGCACAGAGACACTGACACTGACATAGCGGGAGGCAGGCACATAGAGAGACAGAACCAGAGACACTGATACTGACACAGCGGGAGGCAGACACAGAGACACAAACACATACACAGAGGGAGGCAGGCACAGAGACACTGACACTGACACAGCGGGAGGCAGGCACAGAGACACTGACACAGACACAGAGGGAGGCAGGCACAGAGACACTGACACTGACACAGCGGGAGGCAGACACAGAGACACTGACACAGACACAGAGGGAGGCAGGCACAGAGACACTGACACTGACACAGCGGGAGGTAGACACAGAGACACAAACACTGACACAGAGGGAGGTAGACACAGAGACACTGACACTGACACAGAGGGAGGCAGACACAGAGACACTGACACTGACACTGACACAGAGGGAGGTAGACACAGAGACACTGACACAGACACAGAGGGAGGCAGGCACAGAGACACAAACACAGCTGGAGGCAGGCACAGAGACACACTGACACAGAGAAAGGCAGGCACAGAGACACAGACACAGAGGGAGGCAGACACAGACACAGGCACAGACACAGAGGGAGGCAGGCACAGAGACACTGACACTGACACAGCGGGAGGTAGACACAGAGACACTGACACAGACACAGAGGGAGGCAGGCACAGAGACACTGACACTGACACAGCGGGGGGTAAACACAGAGACACAAACACTGACACAGAGGGAGGTAGACACAGAGACACTGACACAGACATAGAGGGAGGCAGGCACAGAGACACTGACACTGACACAGCGGGAGGCAGGCACAGAGACACTGACACTGACACAGCGGGAGGTAGACACAGAAACACTGACACTGACATAGCGGGAGACAGGCACAGAGACACTGACACAGACACAGAGGGAGGTAGACACAGAGACACTGACATAGAGGGAGGCAGGCACAGAGACACTGACACAGACACAGAGGGAGGCAGGCACAGAGACACTGACACTGACACAGCGGGAGGCAGGCACAGAGACACTGACACTGACACAGCGGGAGGTAGACACAGAGACACAAACACTGACACAGAGGGAGGTAGACACAGAGACACTGACACTGACACAGAGGGAGGCAGACACAGAGACACTGACACTGACACTGACACAGAGGGAGGTAGACACAGAGACACTGACACAGACACAGAGGGAGGCAGGCACAGAGATACTGACACTGACACAGCGGGAGGTAGACACAGAGACACAAACACAGCGGGAGGCAGGCACAGAGACACTGACACAGAGGAAGGCAGGCACAGAGACACAGACACAGAGACAGAGATACTGACACAGATGAAGGAAGGCACAGAGACACAGACACAGAGGGAGGCTGACACAGACACAGAGATACTGACACAGATGAAGGAAGGCACAGAGACACAGACACAGAGGGAGGCAGACACAGACACAGACACAGAGATACTGACACAGAGGAAGGCAGGCACAGAGACACAGACACAGAGGGAGGCAGACACAGACACAGACACAGAGATACTGACACAGAGGGAGGCAGACACAGACACAGACACAGAGATACAGACACATAGGGAGGCAGACACAGATACACTGACACAGACACAGAGATACAGACACAGAGGGAGGCAGACACAGACACAGACACAGAGATACTGACACAGAGGGAGGCAGACACAGACACAGACACAGAGATACTGACACAGAGGGAGGCAGACACAGACACAGACACAGAGATACTGACACAGAGGGAGGCAGACACAGACACAGACACAGAGATACTGACACAGAGGGAGGCAGACACAGACACAGATACACAGAGACAGACGGAGGAATATGTACCTACCTAGAATGAAGAACGGTATGTGTCCGACGTACTGAACTAGGCGGCCAAAGGTGAAAGAACACAAAGCATCTACCACTCCATAGCAGATCATGATGTAGCCCACGTTGGAAATGCCCATGGAGCATGTGATGTAGGACTGAAACAAAAGTTAACTCTACAAACACATGGTTTACAACGCATATACAATAGTTGCGTGTGTTGCTATACATGCGTTTTGTACGTTTTATATAGTGCGCTGCGTTCTATTCTGCAGGTTCATGTTGTGTAGTGGTACATGTGTTGTGTAGAATCATGTTGTCTAATGGTACATGTGTTATGTAGATTCATGTTGTGTAGTGGTACATGTGTTGTGTAGATTCATGTTGTGTAATGGTACACGTGTTTTGTAGATTCATGTTGTGTAGTGGTACATGTGTTATGTAGATTCATGTTGTGTAGTGGTACATGTATTGTGTAGATTCATGTTGTGTAGTGGTACATGTGTTATGTAGATTCATGTTGTGTAGTGGTACATGTGTTATGTAGATTCATGTTGTATAGTGGTACATGTATTGTGTAGATTCATGTTGTGTAGTGGTACACGTGTTATGTAGATTCATGTTGTGTAGTGGTACATGTGTTGTGTAGAATCATGTTGTCTAATGGTACACGTGTTATGTAGATTCATGTTGTGTAGTGGTACAGGTGTTGTGAGGATTCATGTTGTGTAGTGGTACATGTGTTATGTAGATTCATGTTGTGTAGTGGTACGCGTGTTATGTAGATTCATGCTGTGTAGTGGTACATGTGTTATGTAGATTCATGTTGTGTAGTGGTACATGTGTTACGTAGATTCATGTTGTGTAGTGGTACATGTGTTATGTAGATTCATGTTGTGTAGTGGTACATGTGTTATGTAGATTCATGTTGTGTAGTGGTACATGTGTTATGTAGATTCATGATGTGTAGTGGTACATGTGTTATGTAGTTTCATATTGTGTAGTGGTACACGTGCTATGTAAATTGATGTTGTGTAGTGGTACCTGTGTTATGTAGATTCATGTTGTGTAGTGGTACATGTGTTGTGTAGATTCATGTTGTGTAGTGGTACAGTTGTTATGTAGATTCATGTTGTGTTGTGGTACATGTGTTGTGTAGATTCATGTTGTGTAGTGGTACAGGTGTTATGTAGATTCATGTTGTGTAGTGGTACAGGTGTTATGTAGATTCATGTTGTGTTGTGGTACAGGTGTTATGTAGATTCATGTTGTGTAGTGGTACATGTGTTATGTAGATTCATGTTGTGTAGTGGTACATGTGTTATGTAGATTCATGTTGTGTAGTGGTACATGTGTTGTGTAGATTTATGTTGTGTAGTGGTACACGTGTTATGTAGATTTATGTTGTGTAGCGGTACACGTGTTATGTAGATTCATGTTGTGTAGTGGTACATGTGTTATGTAGATTCTTGTTGTGTAGTGGTACATGTGTTATGTAGATTCATGTTGTGTAGTGGTACATGTGTTATGTAGATTCATGTTGTGTAGTGGTACATGTGTTGTGTAGATTCATGTTGTGAAGTGGTACAGGTGTTATGTAGATTCATGTTGTGTTGTGGTACATGTGTTGTGTAGATTCATGTTGTGTAGATTCATGTTGTGTAGTGGTACAGTTGTTATGTAGATTCATGTTGTGTAGTGGTACAGGTGTTGTGTAGATTCATGTTGTGTAGTGGTACATGTGTTATGTAGATTCATGTTGTGTAGTGGTACATGTGTTACGTAGATTCATGTTGTGTAGTGGTACATGTGTTATGTAGATTCATGTTGTGTAGTGGTACATGTGTTGTGTAGATTCATGTTGTGTAGTGGTACAGGTGTTATGTAGATTCATGTTGTGTAGTGGTACATGTGTTATGTAGATTCATGTTGTGTAGTGGTACGCGTGTTATGTAGATTCATGCTGTGTAGTGGTACATGTGTTATGTAGATTCATGTTGTGTAGTGGTACATGTGTTACGTAGATTCATGTTGTGTAGTGGTACATGTGTTATGTAGATTCATGTTGTGTAGTGGTACATGTGTTATGTAGATTCATGTTGTGTAGTGGTACATGTGTTATGTAGATTCATGATGTGTAGTGGTACATGTGTTATGTAGTTTCATATTGTGTAGTGGTACACGTGCTATGTAAATTGATGTTGTGTAGTGGTACCTGTGTTATGTAGATTCATGTTGTGTAGTGGTACATGTGTTGTGTAGATTCATGTTGTGTAGTGGTACAGTTGTTATGTAGATTCATGTTGTGTTGTGGTACATGTGTTGTGTAGATTCATGTTGTGTAGTGGTACAGGTGTTATGTAGATTCATGTTGTGTAGTGGTACAGGTGTTATGTAGATTCATGTTGTGTTGTGGTACAGGTGTTATGTAGATTCATGTTGTGTAGTGGTACATGTGTTATGTAGATTCATGTTGTGTAGTGGTACATGTGTTATGTAGATTCATGTTGTGTAGTGGTACATGTGTTGTGTAGATTTATGTTGTGTAGTGGTACACGTGTTATGTAGATTTATGTTGTGTAGCGGTACACGTGTTATGTAGATTCATGTTGTGTAGTGGTACATGTGTTATGTAGATTCTTGTTGTGTAGTGGTACATGTGTTATGTAGATTCATGTTGTGTAGTGGTACATGTGTTATGTAGATTCATGTTGTGTAGTGGTACATGTGTTGTGTAGATTCATGTTGTGAAGTGGTACAGGTGTTATGTAGATTCATGTTGTGTTGTGGTACATGTGTTGTGTAGATTCATGTTGTGTAGATTCATGTTGTGTAGTGGTACAGTTGTTATGTAGATTCATGTTGTGTAGTGGTACAGGTGTTGTGTAGATTCATGTTGTGTAGTGGTACATGTGTTATGTAGATTCATGTTGTGTAGTGGTACATGTGTTACGTAGATTCATGTTGTGTAGTGGTACATGTGTTATGTAGATTCATGTTGTGTAGTGGTACATGTGTTGTGTAGATTCATGTTGTGTAGTGGTACAGGTGTTATGTAGATTCATGTTGTGTAGTGGTACATGTGTTATGTAGATTCATGTTGTGTAGTGGTACATGTGTTATGTAGATTCATGTTGTGTAGTGGTACATGTGTTGTGTAGATTCATGTTGTGTAGTGGTACATGTGTTATGTAGATTTATGTTGTGTAGTGGTACAGGTGTTATGTAGATTCATGTTGTGTTGTGGTACATGTGGTAGGAAGTTGTAAGTGTGTAATGTAGATTCTTAACCGTGCCCTCAAGTGTGGCGAAATGTAAACTAAATGAACACAATTGTACTACGAGATGCTACACACCCGCGTGAAGTCTCCTGTGATGAAGGCCTGTTCCACCCCGCTGTAGATTGTCAGTGGGATAAGCAGCTGCTGGTAGGGAGATTTGATCAGGTGTTTAAATGTCGATATAAGCAGGCGGGGCGACACTTTCTTGCTCGTCTTATTGTCATCCTTGTCTAGTTTGATTCGGTCGAGGAAGAAGATGATAGTCACAGCTGCAAGAACCGCAAACCCTGTATAGATGCCACATACTATGTACACCTGCAACATAACACCAATACATACAACATCTGCAACATGGCGCCAACCTATACAGAATTCATACGACACCTGCAACATGGCACCAACTCATACAGCACCTGCAACATAACACCAAATCATGCAACACCTGCAACATAACACCAACTCCTACAACACCTGCAACATAACACCAACTCCTACAACACCTGCAACATAACACTAATTTATTCAGTACCTGCAACATCAAACCAATTTATTCAGTACCTGCAACATCAAACCAATTCATGCATCACCCCTGCAACATAATACCAACTCCTACAACGCCTGCAACATAACACCAACTCCTACAACACCTGCAACAAAACACCAACTCATGCAACACCTGCAACATAACACCAACTCCTACAACACCTGCAACATAACACCAACTCCTACAACACCTGCAACATAACACTAATTTATTCAGTACCTGCAACATCAAACCAATTTATTCAGTACCTGCAACATCAAACCAATTCATGCATCACCCCTGCAACATAATACCAACTCCTACAACGCCTGCAACATAACACCAACTCCTACAACACCTGCAACATAACACCAACTCATGCAACACCTGCAACATAACACCAATTGATTCAGTACCTGCAACATAACACCAACTCATGCAGAACCCCTGCAACATAACACCAACTCGTACAACACCTGCAACATAACACCAACTCGTACAACATCTGCAACATAACACCAACTCGTACAACACCTGCAACGTAACACCAACTCATGCAACACCCGCAACATAACACCAATTTATTCAGTACCTGCAACATAACACCAACTCATGCAGAACCCCTGCAACATAACACCAACTCGTACAACACCTGCAACAAAACACCAACTCGTACAACACCTGCAACATAACACCAACTCCTACAACACCTGCAACATAACACCAACTCATGCAACACCTGCAACAGAACACCAACTCGTACAACACCTGCAACATAACACCAACTCGTACAACACCTGCAACATAACACCAACTCGTACAACACCTGCAACATAACACCAACTCCTACAACACCTGCAACAAAACACCAACTCATGCAACACCTGCAACATAACACCAACTCTTACAACACCTGAAACATAACACCAACTCCTACAACACCTGAAACATACCACCAACTCCTACAACACCTGCAACATAACATCAACTTCCGTCACATCGGCTGTTTCAATCAGAGGGGGTTTATTGTGATTTGATATCCCTGACTGACCAATCAAAATTAGGTATTTTCGAAATTCATGATAGACTGTCTGTTCAAGAGTGTCAAATGATACAATTTGATCAATGAGATTAGTTTGCGTTTGTTAATTAAATCCGTCTACACAGACGAGCGTAAAACACTTTCCACACTAAACTGTCGGGGGGAAAAAGTCTACACTCTAAACTTTGATTTGACCAAAATAATACAATATTATATTGCCACGTTGTCAAAACGTTGCTAGGCTGAAAACTGTCGCCGAAACACTGCAAACTGAAGGCCCAAGACACAACTAGGATACTCGTATCAAATACATCACCTTCGAATAACCATTACTTGTTTGTTTCACTTTAGCCATCATCAAAGGTGGGTGTATACTTCTCTTTTGCCCTGTAGATTACATAACAGGCTTAATAAAAAAAATCATGACGTGAGCAAATAGACAGGACTGATACAAAGTTATTATGCACTGGTAGCGAAATAGAGGCCCCACGAGGACTATCAGGACCTGAGAATATTCTTACAGTTTGGAGACTCTGTAAACACATGGTTGAGATTGAAGTCACTCTGCATGGATGGAACTGAAATTTTCCCAATCAATATCACATGCATGCCGTCATTGGTCTTGCAGAGTCCGTTAGATCTCGAAATACGTCACTCGGTCTCCGGCTCCAATCTCCCGTGAGTGCCTGTACTAAGTCAGGTCTGTTTGCAGGTGGATACGTCGTGGTCTGAGCTGACGATCAAGGTGGCCCCTTTCTGTCTGATCTGTCCATGGAGGATCCAGAGGGAGGTCGAGGGGACTCCGGGGTGGCGAGTTAACTGTTGTAAGTCTCTGTGAAGCGCTCATATAATATCTCTCTGTCCAGCTAATGAAGGTGGTTGAGCATCACTTCATTATATCAAATTGTTTTCATCAATGTCTTCTTCCCTTTTTCACATTTGCCTCTAAGAAAACCACAAAGCAAGTATGACATATGCGTGGACATTCTGCTAACCCTTTTGGGTCAGTTTGTAAGGATTCTGTATATAAAGACAAACTACATTATCGGAAGGCTAGTGGTAAACGGATGGGGTAATGATTATTTATCGTACTTGGATAGATTTTTAATAATTGCATGCGTAGAAGCAAACCATGCTCGGTATAAAGGTCAAGGTCAGGGTGTATTTTACCATAATCCATTTTTTTACAAAACACACATCCCATCAACAGTTGTGATAAACCAAACCATGCAGATATCCTGCCACATTGTCAACAGAGACAGCACGGGCACATGGTTCAGACGGCTCAAAGCAATAACTGCTCCCTACCTTTTGCGTCACTGGTCTCTCCAGGTTGGTATTGTCGGTTACGTTGGTGTCTGCTGGGAAGAAGTTTGCCCCGCACTTTGACAGCTCATCGAATGTTTTGTTTGTGGCGTTGTGATTGTCATCTTCCTTGAAGATCGTGGATGATATAAGGTTGCCCCACACCTGACCTGCAAACATAGTGCACTGTTATACTATGTTGACCCTATTCTACTCACGTGGCAGATTCATTGATACAGCATATATTGCAAGCTAATCACCCTCCATCCCATTCCTGTTCTATGGTGTCACTGAACTAATAATACATGTCATAAACGTTGTTTAACTGTTTGTAAAATGAACGCACCATGATTCTCGAGAGGGGTATAAACTTACTTGTTTTCTGTGTCGTGTATGTTTTAGTACTTTATATTATATGTGCTGGTGCGGTCCTATACTACATCCTTGTCTCGACAATATACATAATATCTTATCAGTACTACTTATCCCCTGCTTCCCATTGTCCAGTGCCTTTTACCAACCAGTGATAAGTTAGGTCCTGGCTTCTAATTGTCCTTCCCTATCAGCTAATTACTGTGAAGTGATGGCTTCCCTGGTTTAGTTTCCACCTTTGTCATCTTATTACTTTTGTTGTTCTTACAGGTACATATATAGGCGCTCTGCCTCATAGTATTCATTCACTGGATGAAGGAGTAAGCACATACTCCAAAATGTTGTGTTCCTCATAATAAAGAAGTTGACATTCATAAATTCTCTTCCTTTAGGAATATTACTCTTAACAGCTGACGTTTAACGTCACTGTATTACCCCTGATTATATATCTTTGCCTAATTCACAACAGAACATCCCTTCCTATCATATATACTGCTTAATTCAAATTTTCATCTCCGGGTTTTTGTTTTGTGACATTATTCTTGCACTAGTGTATAAAGGTTCAAAACTCCTTTGAAACTTCAACTTTGTTGGACATCTAGGTTACAAATGTTGGCGGAAATGTAAAGGATTTGGAGGTCGTGAAATAGTTTTAGCCATGACATCAATAGTTAAACTCTGACACTAACACTCCAATTACAAAGGCATTCCCGTCAAACATGACAATGTTCAGTTGGAACTATGTGTTCCCGGGAGCACCCCGCTTAAGGGGCAAATATTTGTGGTTCTCTTAAATAGCTTGACAAACAGACTCCAAAGGAGGTTGACACGAAGACAGAACTGTATGAGCACTATTTGATTGTATGAGATATAGACACAGAACTGTGCGTGAGTATTGTATGACTGTTTCATATATTGACATGTCCATGACAAAACTAAGCCTTCGTACTACTCACTCGTGTTCTGCAACCGAAACAATTTAAAACGAGGTTAGAGGATTGCACGTCTTTATCAAAGTAAACACACCTGGTTTCCTGACTCAAATATGATGAGTTAGCCCAATTAAAAAAAACACTTTATATCATATGAGATGAATGATTGACACGGCACTGATGTGGAGGCACTGATGTGGAGAACCTATAATATCAAAAATAGTTCAGCATTCACTAGGAAGTAAAGCTTTAAGTTGGTTAATGTGTTTTTGTACAATTAAATCTAAAATTGTTAGATCTGTAAATAGTAAATTTCAGGAAATTATTTCTCTGATTAACCTTCTTCTAGCACCAAATGCATATATTACCCATGTTGAATAACAATTAAAAACTTCTTTCGGTACTCTTATCACAAACAGTATGCAGTTACCGATGGTCAACCTCTTTTATCTGTAACTGCAGATAGTTACCGATAATTAACAACTTCTATTTATCACTAACTACAGACAGTCCCCAACGATAATCTGCAAACATTCTCCGAGGCTCAATCACTTTTATCACAAACTGCAGACAAACTCCGATGGTCAACCACAGTTACCAACGATAACCTCTTTTAGTCTCCCATGATCAGTTACTTTATCACTAACTGCAGAGAGTGTCCCATGATCAGTTACTTTATCACCAGCTGCAGACAGTCTCCCATGATCAGTTATTTTATCACTAGCTGCAGACAGTCTCCCACGATCAGTTACTTTATCACTAGCTGCAGACAGTCTCCCATGATCAGTTACTCTATCACTAGCTGCAGACAGTCTCCCATAATTGATCAGTTACTTTATCACTAGCTGCAGACAGTCTCCCATGATCAGTTCCATTATCACTAGCTGCAGACAGTCTCCCATAATCAGTTACTTTATCACTAACTGCAGATAGTCTCCCATGATCAGTTACTTTATCACTAGCTGCAGACAGTCTCCAGTGATCAGTTACTTTATCACTAGCTGCAGACAGTCTCCCATGATCAGTTACTTTATCACTAGCTGCAGACAGTGTCCCATGATCAGTTACTTTATCACTAGCTGCAGTCAGTATCCTGTGATCAGCTCCTTTATCACCAACTGCAGACAGTCTCCCATGATCAGCTACTTTATCACCACCTGCAGACAGTCTCCCATGATCAGTTACTTTATCACTAGCTGCAGACAGTCTCCCATGATCAGTTACTTCATCACTAGTTGCAGTCAGTCTCCCATGATCAGTTACTTTATCGCTAGCTGCAGACAGTCTCCCATGATCAGTTACTTTATCACTAGCTGCAGTCAGTATCCTGTGATCAGCTCCTTTATCACCAACTGCAGACAGTCTCCCATGATCAGTTACTTTATCACTAGCTGCAGACAGTCTCCCATGATCAGTTCCATTATCACTAGCTGCAGACAGTCTCCCATGATCAGTTACATTATCACCAGCTGCAGACAATCTTCCGTGATCAGTTACTTTATCACTAGCTGCAGACAGTCTCCCATAATCAGTTACTTTATCACTAGCTGCAGACAGTCTCCCATGATCAGTTACTTTATCACTAGCTGCAGATAGTCTCCCATGATCAGTTACTTTATCACAACCTGCAGACAGTCTCCCAGGATCAGTTCCATTATCACTAGCTGCAGACAGTCTCCCATAATCAGTTACTTTATCACTAGCTGCAGACAGTCTCCCATGATCAGTTACTTCATCACTAGCTGCAGACAGTCTCCCATGATCAGTTACTTTATCACCACCTGCAGACAGTCTCCCAGGATCAGTTAATTTATCACTAGCTGCAGACAGTCTCCCATGATCAGTTACTTTATCACTAGCTGCAGACAGTGTCCCATGATCAGTTACTTTATCACTAGTTGCAGTCAGTATCCTGTGGTCAGCTCCTTTATCACCAACTGTAGATAGTCTCCCATGATCAGTTACTTTATCACTAGCTGCAGACAGTCTCCCATGATCAGTTACTTTATCACTAGCTGCAGACAGTCTCCCATGATCAGTTACTTTATCACCACCTGCAGACAGTCTCCCATGATCAGTTCCTTTATCACCACCTGCAGATAGTCTCCCATGATCAGTTACTTTATCACCACCTGCAGACAGTCTCCCATAATCAGTTCCATTATCACTAGCTGCAGACAGTCTCCCATAATCAGTTACTTTATCACTAGCTGCAGACAGTCTCCCATAATCAGTTACTTTATCACTAGCTGCAGATAGTCTCCCATGATCAGTTACTTTATCACCACCTGCAGACAGTCTCCCAGGATCAGTTCCATTATCACTAGCTGCAGACAGTCTCCCATAATCAGTTTCTTTATCACTAGCTGCAGACAGTATCCCATGATCAGTTACTTCATCACTAGCTGCAGATAGTCTCCCATGATCAGTTACTTTATCACTAGCTGCAGACAGTCTCCCATGATCAGTTAATTTATCACTAGCTGCAGACAGTCTCCCATGATCAGTTACTTTATCACTAGCTGCAGACAGTGTCCCATGATCAGTTACTTTATCACTAGTTGCAGTCAGTATCCTGTGGTCAGCTCCTTTATCACCAACTGCAGACAGTCTCCCATGATCAGTTACTTTATCACTAGCTGCAGACAGTCTCCCATGATCAGTTACTTTATCACTAGCTGTAGACAGTCTCCCATGATCAGTTACTTTATCACCACCTGCAGACAGTCTCCCATGATCAGTTACTTTATCACTAGCTGCAGATAGTCTCCCATGATAAGTTATCGACCAACTGTTTCCGACCTGCTTTCCTCACCCTTCAGGAAACGACCAGCCAACACAGATGTTCAACCTCTTACCCTTTCGTAAACGACCGGTCAACAGGGGTGTGCACCTTTTACCCTTTCCTTAATGACCGGTCAACAGGGGTGTGCACCTCTACCTTTGACATATCCATTGTTCAAGATTACAGTGATTAATCAATCAACGTATTCTCTGTTGATCCTTTTGATGGCTAGACATTATCCGTTGAAGAAAAAACGTACAAAAGGTTACAAAAACGTAAATCAACTGATCATTCATCTCTTGCTGTCTGCCACGTGCATATTACATAACACACATTTCACCTCACTTCAAACCTGGATTTAGATTAGATTGAATAATTAACCCAGACACAGGAAATGCCAAATGGGAACCTTTATCAGGTAGTGGTGCTACCACTAATTATACCTGTAATAAATTCATTAACTGAGCATCAAGTGAATTACGACAAATACACAAGTGTAGGGTTCTACCAGAACATGCAATCCGAAATCCGAAAATGTTTTCACTGCAGGGATACTTTGTTTTATTATAAAACTATAACCATCAGGGGAATTTCCAACTAACGACATCCGTTGAGCTGCCACCGTTCTTTTTCCTGTTTGTTTACGCTGAAGAAATTAATGTGTGCCCCACGACAAGTCGACAGGGGTGTGCACCTCTTACCCTTTCCTTTCCTTAACGACCGGTCTACCGGGAAAGTGCATCTCTTACCCTTTCCTTCCTTAATGACCAGTCAACAGGGGTGTGCACCTCCTACCCTTTCCTTCCTTGACAACAGGTCAACAGGGGTGCGCACCGCCTACCCTTTCCTTCCTTGACGAGAGTTCAATAGGGTCGTGCATCTCCTACTGTTTCCTTACTTGACGACAGGTCAACAAGGGTTTGCAGCTCTTACCCTTTCCTTGACGACCGGTCAACAGGGGTGTGCACCTCATACCCTTTCCGTAACTACCGGTCAACAGAGGTGTGCACCTCTGAACCTTTACTTAACGACTAGTCAACAGGGGTGTGCAGCTCCTATTCTTTCCTTAACGACTGGTCAACAGGGGTGTGCAGCTCCTACCCTTTCCTTCCTTAACGACTGGTCAACGGGGGTTTGCGCCTCTGACCCTTTCCTTGACGACCGGTCAACAGGGGTGTGCACCTCATACCCTTTCCGTAACTACCGGTCAACAGAGGTGTGCACCTCTGAACCTTTACTTAACGACTAGTCAACAGGGGTGTGCAGCTCCTATTCTTTCCTTAACGACTGGTCAACAGGGGTGTGCAGCTCCTACCCTTTCCTTAACAACCGGTCAACAAGGGTGTGCAGATCCTTCCCTTTACTAAACAACCAGTCAACAGGGGTGTGCACCTCATACCCTTTCCGTAACGACTGGTCAACAGGGGTGTGCAGCTCCTACCCTTTACGTAACGACCGGTCTACAGGGATGTGCATCTCCTACCCGTTCCATCCTTAACGACTTTTCAACAGGGGTGTGCACCTCCTACCCTTTCCTTCCTTAACGACCAGTCAACAGGGGTTTGCACCTCCTACCCTTTCCTTCCTTAACGACCAGTCAACAGGGGTTTGCACCTCCTACCCTTTCCTTCCTTAACGACCAGTCAACAGGGGTGTTCATCTCCGAATCTTTACTTAACGACTGGTCAACAGGGGTGTGCACCTCCTACCCTTTCCTTAACGACTGGTCAACAGAGATGTGCAGCTCCTATCCTTTACGTAACGACTGGTCAACAGGGGTTTGCACCTCCTACCCTTTCCTTCCTTAACGACTGGTCAACAGGGGTGTGCACCTCCTACCCTTCCCTTCCTTAACGACCGGTCAACAGGGGTTTGCACCTCCTACCCTTTCCTTCCTTAACGACCAGTCAACAAGGGTGTGCACCTCCGAACCTTTACTTAACGACTGGTCAACAGGGATGTGCAGCTCCTATCCTTTCCTTAACGACTGGTCAACAGGGGTGTTCATCTCCGAATCTTTACTTAACGACTGGTCAACAGGGGTGTGCACCTCCTACCCTTTCCTTAACGACTGGTCAACAGGGATGTGCAGCTCCTATCCTTTCCTTAACGACTGGTCAACAGGGGTTTGCACCTCCTACCCTTTCCTTCCTTAACGACTGGTCAACAGGGGTGTGCACCTCCTACCCTTCCCTTCCTTAACGACCGGTCAACAGGGGTTTGCACCTCCTACCCTTTCCTTCCTTAACGACCAGTCAACAAGGGTGTGCACCTCCGAACCTTTACTTAACGACTGGTCAACAGGGGTGTGCAGCTCCTATTCTTTCCTAAACGACTAGTCAACAGGGGTGTGTGGCTCCTATCCTTTCCTTAACGACTGGTCAACAGGGGACAGCGGCTCCTATCCTTTCCTTAACGACTGGTCAACAGGGGTGTGCGGCTCCTATCCTTTCCTTAACGACCGGTCAACAAGGGTGTGCAGCTCCTTCCCTTTCCTTAGTGACTGGTCAACAGGGATGTGCAGCTCCTATCCTTTCCTTAACGACTGGTCAACAAGGGTGTGCAGCTCCTACCCTTTACTTAACAACCGGCCAACAGGGTCGTGCACCTCCTACCCTTTCCTTAACGACTGCTCAACAGGGGTGTGCAGATTCTATCCTTTCCTTAACGACTGGTCAACAGGGGTGTGCGGCTCCTATTCTTTCCTTAACGACCGGTCAACAAGGGTGTGAAGCTCCTATTCTTTCCTCAACGACTAGTCAACAGGGGTGTTCACCTCCGATTCTTTCCTTAACGACCGGTCAACAGGGATGTGCAGCTCCTATCCTTTCCTTAACGACGGGTCAACAGGGGTGTGCAGCTCCTACCATTTCCTTAACGACTGGTCAACAAGGGTGTGCACCTCCTACCCTTTCCTTAACGACTGGTCAACAGGGGTGTGCAGCTCCTACCCTTTCCTTAACGCCTGCTCAACAGCGTCGTGCACCTCCTACCCTTTCCTTAACGACTGCTCAACAGGGGTGTGCAGATTCTATCCTTTCCTTAACGACTGGTCAACAGGGGTGTGCGGCTCCTATTCTTTCCTTAACGACCGGTCAACAAGGGTGTGAAGCTCCTATTCTTTCCTCAACGACTAGTCAACAGGGGTGTTCACCTCCGAATCTTTCCTTAACGACCGGTCAACAGGGATGTGCAGCTCCTATCCTTTCCTTAACGACTGGTCAACAGGGGTGTGCAGCTCCTACCCTTGCCTTAACGACTGGTCAACAGGGGTGTGCACCTCCTACCCTTTCCTTAACGACTGCTCAACAGGGGTGTGCAGATCCTATCCTTTCCTTAACGACTGGTCAACAGGGGTGTGCGGCTCCTACCCTTTCCTTAACGACTGCTCAACAGGGGACTGCGGCTCCTATCCTTTCCTTAACGACTGGTCAACAGGGGTGTGCGGCTCCTATCCTTTCCTTAACGACTGGTCAACAAGGGTGTGCAGCTCCTATTCTTTCCTCAACGACTAGTCAACAGGGGTGTTCACCTCCGAATCTTTCCTTAACGACCGTCCAACAGGGATGTGCAGCTCCTATCCTTTCCTTAACGACGGGTCAACAGGGGTGTGCAGCTCCTACCCTTTCCTTAACGACTGGTCAACAAGGGTGTGCACCTCCTACCCTTTCCTTAACGACTGGTCAACAGGGGTGTGCACCTCCTACCCTTTCCTTAACGACTGCTCAACAGGGGTGTGCAGATCCTATCCTTTCCTTAACGACTGGTCAACAGGGGTGTGCGGCTCCTATCCTTTCCTTAACGACCGGTCAACAAGGGTGTGCAGCTCCTTCCCTTTCCTTAGCGACTGGTCAACAGGGATGTGCAGCTCCTATCCTTTCCTTAACGACTGGTCAACAAGGGTGTGCAGCTCCTACCCTTTACTTAACAACCGGCCAACAGGGGTGTGCACCTCCTACCCATTCCTCCCTTGACGACCGGTCAACAGGGGTGTGCGAAACACTTATCTGGGCAGCTCTAACGCTAAAATAACCAATAAAACAACAAAGGGCGGACAGCTCTGGGACTAAAGTAAACGATCGATAAGCGGTTTCTTACAGGTCCCTCCCTTCACACAACGACAGGCCAACAGAAAACCTACCTTTGTGAAAACGATCGTCCACAAGGGCGTGCAACTTAATGTTTTAGTACGGCCATGTTACGCTTACCCTTTCGTAAATGACCGATCTAAAGGGACATGCAGCTCTCACCGGTCAACAGGTGTGTGGAAAAACTCTTTCCCTTAATTAAAAGGGCCCGAAAACCATTAGAAAACGACAAGCATCTCAACTGACCGGTTATCAAAGGTGTGTAGTTTAACCCCTTAGTTGAAGACAGGCTAAATGGGTTGTGCTATTCTTACCTTATACTAAACGACCGACTAACAGTTGCATGCAGCACCTCCCCTTTTGCAAATGACCGGCTGTCATGTGAGTTGCTCAAACACTTTTGACAATGACCGAACGTCACGGGTGTGTAGCTGTAACACTTTGCAAATGACCGACCATCGTGGGTGTGTATGTATTAAATGTTAGTGAACAAGTGAAGTATAGCAAACGCGCTGTGTAAAAAAACATAATCATTTCTACATGATGTCTGTAGTGTTTGACACGGTGTATGACGATATGTGAAGGTAATTCAGTGGTTGCAATACATGAGATTAACGATGTTTCAGCGTGTGCGTATGTAAATACTACATCTCTGTAAGAAGCTGGCAAGTGTGACGAGTGAGGCTTTCCAGATATTGTCTTTACTCTAAATCCCCTTTGTGTTGACTTCAAGTGCACATTTCTGTGTACATTACGTGCTAACCGCGGAAGAATGTCCTTGTCAAAGATTTGTCCAGTCAGGGACGGGAAGGGATCCATACGACCCGGGAAACAAGCGCGACCCAGCATCACAATAGTGGCCTGACTTGTAGGGAATGTAGATCTGCACTTGTACTCCGTCACCAGAGACGAAACAATTCCACACATTGATCAGATAGCCCTACTCCCACCCTACACCAGGTCATCAGGGAATCAATCGATCGTGTGTATCCCTCTCTGATCTATGATGTTCAAATAGTTTCTTAAGATATATTTTTTTTAAACTAAGATTTTACTTCCATTAGAATTCTCCATTACAGTGGGAGTCCTGACACGTCTATGTGTCACAAAGACACGTACCAGCTTTCTTGTCTGATGTATCTAAACATGGGCCATCTTTTAGTTGAATAAAAGTTTAATGAAGCGATTTTGAACAGGCCACTTCACAGAGAAACAATGTCCGCACCCAAGTTAATAACATTACATTGAGCAGTGGTAGAGCTGGGGACCCACGTGGATCGTGTTGCACTACTTAAGGAGGGTTATATAAATTACTTATACGAGAATCCTACATTAACGTAGGAGTAAATATGAACACGTTATCTAAACTGTTTTAAAACACCTTAATGTCATTTATTGCGTGCGTGCGTGCGTGTGATATGTTGGGTGATCAGATATAACTTTCCTTACTGTGAAATACTAATGAACACTCCTTGGTGTGGACTATTCACACATCCACTTGCTTTACAAAATAAACTGTATCTACCTCATTTGATTTATTTTTTTAATTTAGAAATACTCACTGATCTTATGCATCAACAATTTTGTATTTTCCTTTAAAGATGCAATAATCCACCGTTCTCGCCTTATCAAGGAACCATGACGTGTGACGTCACAGAAATTCCGCACTTTATATTTAAAGACTTTACTCTCAGTGTCAGAAGTTTCAGAATTTAGTTTACTGTTCGATTAGGTATGAGCGTGATATATGAAAAGACATAACAGTGCAGACCCTTAGAATTGAACACGGGTCGAGATTAGATTTACTCACTTGTTTGAAAAATCATGAAGAAAACACCAAAGAAAGCATTGATGACAGCATCTTCTGTTTGTCCCGTCATTTTAGCATACCAAACACCTGTTTGTGTTAGATACGTGCATTTAGCCGACCACAGTGGAGCAGCCCCCAGACCCAGGATGACAGCAGCAGGCGCCATCAAGCCCCACACGGGGTAGAAGTTGGCGCCCATGTACAGGATGTAACCCAACATCGAAAGTGGTATGGTCCACTTGCATCCAAGATGTGCGATCATGAAGGGCGGAACAAATAAACACGATAGTACTAAGGCACCGTATAAGATGGACAAACTGCCTGATCCCACCCCGCTCTTCATGTTGAGGCTGGTCTGGAGGTTGGACATGGACTGGAAGGCGGTGAACAGGAACAGGAAGCCCACGCTCACAACCAGCAGGTTCTTGATTACTTTCATTTTGGTAAATTTTGCTGTGAGCTGTGCGGCCGGGTCTTTGTTTTCAACATTTTTCTCCGGGAGTTCCATAGCTTCTGTATAGCTTGGGGGAGTATCCTTTTTCTTTTCAGTTGACATCTACAACACACACACACATACGCATTTATTAGTCAGTTGAACTTTCAAAGATATTTTATAATAAATACAGCATCCTGTGGTATTTGTAAACCCATATTTTTCTGACTATCAATCGTATTACAGAAACAACATGGTGATTAAGAGGTGATAGCTAGCAATTCACTATCCGGGGGAGGCTGAATTTCAACACTGGTCAACGCAACTTACACAACCTGAATATGTAACAAATAAGCTAGATACAGCAGTACATACATACAATCTGGTGCATTTATCAAACCTGGTGCCTCCGGTCGAAATGGAATGTGACCTCATGGGTAGGATAGAACAAAATAAGTAGCTGTGCAGTATGTGTGTAAGGATCGTTCACAACAGCTGTGAGGCCAATACTCTGCCAGACGTCATCCAGCACAGCTGCGTGAAGCTATTACTCTGCCAGACGTCATCCAGCACAGCTGCGTGAAGCCATTACACTGACAGACGTCAATCAGCACAGCTTCGTGAAGCCATTACACTGACAGACGTCAATCAGCACAGCTTCGTGAAGCCATTACACTGACAGACGTCATCCAGCACAGCTGTGTGAAGCCATTACACTGACAGACGTCATCCAGCACAGCTGTGTGAAGCCATTACTCTGACAGATGTCATCCAGCACAGCTGCGTGAGGCCATTACAAAACCAGCAGGTTTCCTCCCTCACAGCTGCGTGAAGCCATTACTCTGACAGATGTCATCCAGCACAACTGCGTGAAGCCATTACACTTCCAGATGTCATTCAGCACAGCTGCGTGAAGCCATTACTCTGTCAGATGTCATCCAGCACAGCTGCGTGAAGCCATTACTCTGACAGATGTCATCCAGCACAACTGCGTGAAGCCATTACACTTCCAGATGTCATTCAGCACAGCTGCCTGAAGCCATTACTCTGTCAGATGTCATCCAGCACAGCTGCGTGAAGCCATTATTCTGTCAGATGTCAACCAGCACAGCTGCGTGAAGCCATTACTCTGTCAGATGTCATCCAGCACAGCTACGTGCAGCCATTACACTGACAAACGTCATCAAGCACAGCTGCGTGAAGCCGTAACACTGACAGACGTCATCCAGCACAGCTGCGTGAAGCCATTATTCTGACAGATGTCATCCAGCACAGCTGCGTGAAGCCATTATTCTGACAGCTGTCATCCAGCACAGCTGCGTGTAGCCATTATTCTGTCAGATGTCAACCAACACAGCTGCGTGAAGCCATTACACTGACAGATTTCAACCAACACAGCTGATTGAAGCCATTACTCTGTCAAATGCCATCCAGCACAGCTGCGTGAAGCGATTACTCTGTCAGATGTCATCAAGCACAGCTCCGTGAAGCCATTATTCTGTCAGATGTCATCCAGCACAGCTGCGTGAAGCCATTATTCTGTCAGATGTCATCCACCACAACTGCGTGAAGCCATTATTCTGTCAGATGTCATCCAGCACAGCTGCGTGAAGCCATTATTCTGTCAGATGTCAACCAGCACAGCTGCGTGAAGCTATTACTCTGTCAGATGTCATCCAGCACAGCTGCGTGAAGCTATTACTCTGTCAGATGTCATCCAGCACAGCTGCGTGAAGCCATTACACTGACAGACGTCAATCAGCACAGCTGTGTGAAGCCATTACACTGACAGACGTCATCCAGCACAGCTGTGTGAAGCCATTACACTGACAGACGTCATCCAGCACAGCTGTGTGAAGCCATTACTCTGACAGATGTCATCCAGCACAGCTGCGTGAGGCCATTACAAAACCAGCAGGTTTCCTCCCTCACAGCTGCATGAAGCCATTACTCTGACAGATGTCATCCAGCACAACTGCGTGAAGCCATTACACTTCCAGATGTCATTCAGCACAGCTGCGTGAAGCCATTACTCTGTCAGATGTCATCCAGCACAGCTGCGTGAAGCCATTACTCTGACAGATGTCATCCAGCACAACTGCGTGAAGCCATTACACTTCCAGATGTCATTCAGCACAGCTGCGTGAAGCCATTACTCTGTCAGATGTCATCCAGCACAGCTGTGTGAAGCCATTATTCTGTCAGATGTCAACCAGCACAGCTGTGTGAAGCCATTACTCTGACAGATGTCATCCAGCACAGCTGCGTGAGGCCATTACAAAACCAGCAGGTTTCCTCCCTCACAGCTGCGTGAAGCCATTACTCTGACAGATGTCATCCAGCACAACTGCGTGAAGCCATTACACTTCCAGATGTCATTCAGCACAGCTGCGTGAAGCCATTACTCTGTCAGATGTCATCCAGCACAGCTGCGTGAAGCCATTACTCTGACAGATGTCATCCAGCACAACTGCGTGAAGCCATTACACTTCCAGATGTCATTCAGCACAGCTGCGTGAAGCCATTACTCTGTCAGATGTCATCCAGCACAGCTGCGTGAAGCCATTATTCTGTCAGATGTCAACCAGCACAGCTGCGTGAAGCCATTATTCTGTCAGATGTCATCCAGCACAGCTGCGTGAAGCCATTACTCTGTCAGATGTCATCCAGCACAGCTACGTGCAGCCATTACACTGACAAACGTCATCAAGCACAGCTGCGTGAAGCCGTAACACTGACAGACGTCATCCAGCACAGCTGCGTGAAGCCATTATTCTGACAGATGTCATCCAGCACAGCTGCGTGAAGCCATTATTCTGACAGCTGTCATCCAGCACAGCTGCGTGAAGCCATTATTCTGTCAGATGTCAACCAACACAGCTGCGTGAAGCCATTACACTGACAGATTTCAACCAACACAGCTGATTGAAGCCATTACTCTGTCAAATGCCATCCAGCACAGCTGCGTGAAGCCATTACTCTGTCAGATGTCATCCAGCACAGCTGCGTGAAGCCATTATTCTGTCAGATGTCATCCAGCACAGCTGCGTGAAGCCATTATTCTGTCAGATGTCATCCAGCACAGCTGCGTGAAGCCATTATTCTGTCAGATGTCAACCAGCACAGCTGCGTGAAGCCATTACTCTGTCAGATGTCATCCAGCACAGCTGCGTGAAGCCATTACTCTGTCAGATGTCATCCAGCACAGCTCTTTGTGATACCCACGGCTCTCTGTTATGTCACAGAGTGAGAATAAGAATCAACTTCAACTGTTGTCTTCCTCCAACATCGAAACAGAAGCACCAAGTCATGTTCTTATGACTGGAATGATTTTGATATTAACTACTTGCACCATTCCTAACTTATATACTCATCGGAAAAATAAAAGGAACACAGTAGGATCATGTATTTGCAGTGTCACACAATCTCTTCCTGTCTGGGTACACGCTAAAAATCCCATATTTTTTGTCCCATTAGTGCATATTCAGCCCAAGCGTTTTTCTTGCAAAACAAACCAGGACATGTTCTCGCTTATACCTGCGTGTGGACATTAAACATTACGCTTGGTTGTACATGCTTCAGTATTTAATGTGTATATGCAATATAACAAGAATGTTTACTTTCACTGATAAGCTGAGTTACCGCGCAGTATTTATTGCCTTTTTGTGAGCTGTGGTCGATAAGATTCGGCATACATGAGACTTGTGTTTTATAAATTGGATACGCGTGACAACGTGGAGAGATCGGCAGAGTAAACATACCTTCTATATGTCACGTTACTAACATCAATATCTGCTCATAATATTCAACTTGTTACATTCAACTGTCTGTTATTGTCTCGTTTACTGTGATTTATGTTGTGTTCTCAGCAACATTTAAGTACTCAGAATTTAAGCGTTTTTTATTTTCCTCTTTTTATTATCCTCTGAACCTCACAGAACATGCCGCTGTAAACTGAAGGTCACACTGTACGTCCTCTCAACAACAGATTGTGTTACAAAGACGGATGGCCATATTAGCAAGACTGTCACGAGGAGCATGTTGAAAATAGTATCGGTATAACTAACTTTACATTACACATGTCACTAGGTGAGCAAAATGAATAAACATTATGGCGCAAGTATGAAGTCCTTGTTGTAATCTAGACAAATATCCATGTATTAAAATGAAGGTCTTTTGATTCAAACATGTGTAGAGTAACCGAAAAAAACTCACACTGTTTTTACTTATCAGGCAGTTTGTGGGTTTTTTCAGGACATGCTTGGTGCAATGCTTTCCCTTTATGTCGTGCAATATTCCAGAAGTTTCAACCTTTGGTGTCTACATTTCACAGCAACCGAACATGCTCTTTCCAAGAAGATTTCAAAGAGCGTCATACGACTCTGGTTCAAAGTTGTTTGATCAGGGTTAAACATTTAAGGCTTTAGTAAAAAACGTAGCTTACAAAAAGTTTTATGGTAGACATATGGAGGGCTTTTCTAAATTTCACGCATCAGCGACGAAAACGATGTTCGTTGCAATTCCCTATTTCGATTTGTACCATACCGTTCCCGTGGTCTTCTTTTCAGGTAACCAATTGACTTGCCCTTGCATGTGTTTGTGACGGGTGCTAACGTTTGGACAGGATATGCTCACCTTTTCGCGAACACTTGGTATACCTATGGTATAAATTCACTATTAAGTAGTGATTCATATTTGATAGTGATTCATTTGCTTTTAGCAAAGATTCCTTTATGATTATGGAAATAGTTTTGTGGCTTCTATTTACGGTCACAGTATTCCGCTATATTTGCATGACATTTTTACTTATAATCCTGTAATTGCGATCGACGCCTGTCCAGATATGACCTTGCACACATATGGTTTCACGAGTTTGATTGTACAGGTGTCTCAAATACATGTTCGACAACACAATCATACTACTGAACAAACTGTCCACCTGTCTCATACTACTGAACAAACTGTCCACCTGTTTCATACCACTGAACAACCTGTCCACCTATCTGATATTACTGAACAAACCGTCCACCTGTCTCATACTACTGAACAAACTGTCCACCTGTCTCATACTACTGAACAAACTGTCCACCTGTTTCATACCACTGAACAACCTGTCCACCTAT